AAAAAAAAAAAAAGTGATAAGCACTAAATGGATAGAATAATGCTGTATTGATTATTAATGGATCCCAAAATTGTGTGCATGGACTATTCAAAATCATATAAAGATCCATGATTCTAATTTGAAAAGGACTTATGCAATGTGTCTGGACACATCATCAATGTCCAAAAATCAACTGCATTTCTAGGGGGTCCTTGGGGGGCTCAGTTGATTAAGCATCCGACTCTTTAGTTTCGGCTCAGATCATGATGTCACGGTTCGCGGGTTCAAACTCCACATCAGAGTGCAGGGCCTGCTTGGGATTCTCTCTCTCTCTCTCTGCCCTTTTCCCCACTCATGCTTGCTCTCTCACTAAATAAATAACCTTTTAAAAATAAAAATAAAAATCAATTGCATTTCAGACGTCCACTTTGGGGGCCCAGAGAATGGGGAGAGCAGGTTAGGGGCACCAAGTACAAAGGCAGAGGGTCAAACTGCGGGGTCCTCTCCTTTCAGAGCGCTGGCCGCAGGCACATTATTTCAAACTCTGAGGCAGCGAAAGCAGATGACCACCATCTGCATGGGGATGTTTACTGGATGCATCATACAGTGATGTTCCTCTACTAAGATTGTAAGAAATGCAGATAAATGACGAGCACTGGGTGTTCTATGCAAGTGATGAATCGCTAAATTCTACTCCTGAAACTGTTATTACACTATATGTTAACTAACTTGGATTTAGATAAAATTTAAAAATAAAATAAATATGGATAAGTTAAGGTGTTAGGTTAATTCCCAGAGTCCCAAAGAATTGGGAGAGGTTTTAATTACATGCGATAGAGGCACGATTCATCTTATGACATGTCGCTTCATGGCGCGTTTTTACACACTGAAGGTTTGGGCAACTCTGCGTTAAGATTTTATTTTTAGAAAGAGAGCGCGAGCAAGGGAGAAGGAGAAGGAGACAGAGGCTGACTCTGTGCTCAGCGCGAGTCTGACGCGGGGCTCAATCCTAGGATCAGGACCTGACCCAGAAAGAGTGGCATGTTCAATCGACCTCAGCCACCCAGGAGCCCCAGCATTTTAAAATTAAGGTATGTACTTTTTTTTTTTTTAAAGAGATAATGCTATTGCCCACGTAATAGACCACAGTATAGTATAAACAGGATTTTTATACCCTCTAGAAAACCAAAAAATTCATTCCATTTGCTTTATTGCCATATTCCCTTATTGGTGGTCTGGAATTAATTCCCCAACATCCCCAGGTGTGCCTATAATCCTAGAGCGGGGGCGGCTGCAGCCCAGAGAAGGTGGACATCGCCACTCAGAGGCTCGCTAGCGGGCCCTGTGAGGTGACCGCCCAGGGGCGCAGGACGGTCCTCACTTCCCCGGGGGCGGACGCCGTGACTCCGGTCAAGGACAGACGCGGGCGGCACACTCAGCTCGCCGCCCTGGCCCTACCTGTCCTCTCCGAGTGCTTTGCCGCTCGGCACCACCTCTTCTGATTGGTGCAGGCTGGCGGCGTGCGCGCTGACGTCACCAGGCAGCGTCGTTGCTATAAAAGCGAGGCCGGGCCGCGGAGGTTTCTCTTTCTCAGCTCTCGGAGACTACGGTGAGGGTGAGTGTGCTGCCCGGCTCTCTGGTCAGGGTGTGGGTTGCAGGGGCGTAAGGACCTTCCGACACGAAATGAGTATGTTAAGGCGGTCGGAGGTGGTTGGACGGGACTGCAGAGCGGTGGCGCTGGGCGAGCCGGCTTTGGCGGCGTCGCGGGCGGTTTTCGCGAGCCTGCGGCGGCGTTGTGGGACTGCGCAGGCGCCGTGCGCGGCTCTCATAGGCTCGGGTTTCCGTCCCGCGCAGGCGCACGCGGACATTCGCGGCCAACATGCCGGTGGCCCGGAGCTGGGTTTGCCGCAAAACCTACGTGACCCCTCGGAGGCCCTTCGAGAAATCCCGCCTCGATCAAGAGTTGAAGCTGATCGGTGAGTAGTGTGACCCGGGTTTCTGTTTCCGGGCCAGGTGGGGCTTGGCCGGCGCGTGGGTGAGGCCGCACACGTGCTCATTGCCGCGGGCGTTCTCGCGTGAGCGTCCCGCCTCCCCCCCGGAGGTGGGCATGGTTTGGGGTCTGGCGGGGTTGTCCAGCCTTACGTTTGCACTTGGCCGGGGGGCCGAGCTCGCTCGCCCAGCAGCCAGATTCCTCTCTTCGCAGGCGAGTATGGGCTCCGCAACAAACGTGAGGTGTGGAGGGTCAAGTTCACCCTGGCCAAGATCCGCAAGGCTGCCCGGGAGCTGCTGACGCTGGACGAGAAGGACCCGCGGCGGCTGTTTGAAGGTGAGGCAGTGTGCGCGAGCCCACGGGAGGGACACTGGGTGCGGGGCGCCGCCGGCCTCCCTCCCGCCTCTGCTCGTCCGTTGGTCAAAGGTCTGGGCTGAGCGGGGGGAGCCCACCTCTGGCCCTGAGTGGAAGTCATCCGTGGGAAAAGTGGGTCTGGAGCCAAATCCCCCTTTTCTGTAAGCGTGTGACGCGGGGCTCCCCAAGCATTGCCTACTTTTATAAGGTGGTCAGCGGTGTTTTCCAAAAGCCTGACCGGGAAGGCAGCCTGTAGGGTGACGATTTGGGAAGGGAATGCAGATCATTTGGGAACTTGACCACCTTTCCAGAGCAACAGCTGATTTCAATCACCTTATGATTTTCTTGTTTT